GTGTTGAGATTGCGCTGGAACCCCCATTCCCTATACTACTACCACCATCAACGAACAACAACAAAATATAAAAATTATATTATTTATATCAACAACACCACCACAACAAGCACCATCACCACCAACAAGAACAACATCAAGGCGAAGAGGAAGAAAAACTCAGAGAAAATGAAATAATAATACAATAATGACTAATTATTTAATTACAATATATATCTTCCCTCTGTATCTTTCTCAGCTGATAAAAAATTTTCTCACCTCACCTTATAATAAACATGAGTTACTCGGTGTTGTTGAATAAGGTCTGTTTACATTGTTTTTTATCTTCACATCGTCAATCTTTCTTTCTTCCACTACGTGACTTTGAGCATATTCGACCTTTGACAATCATTATGGGGAATCATTTCAGCATTAAATAAAGCTTAGAAAATCATCATATGACAGCCCATATATAATCCCGTAGACTAAAGCTATGATTCAGTTACATTAAGCATCATGGGGCTCCATTCCTTTTTCAGTTGAATATGTTTTCAAAATTTCACATTCCTTTCCGTCCGCCATCTTAGTTTGTGGGGTATTACCGCTGTACTTGAGCCGTATAATGACAGTCAGGAAAGAGAGAAAAGAAAAGAGAAAAGAGAAAAAAGAAACGAAACACAGCAAAACAAAAAGAGAAGGGAAGGGAAGGGAAAAAAAAGAAAGAAAAAGAAATACAAAAACAGAAACAACTACGCACCAGATATTCGACAAAAAGAAAATAAATGTTTAAGCATTTTTGAAAATGTATCCAGCAAATAGAAGTTAGAAAAAAAACATTCTGTAATGACTTATTCATTTAAACGTCTTAATCGTTATGATTCACCCCACCGAGGGTCAAGGCTTGGCAAATGAAATATAAATTGGTCCAATAAAGCTCTTAGATGGTGCTTCGCTCTGACGAGACGTAGGTCATAGTACTTGACTGATAAGAAGATGGCGCGAAGAATGCCGTCTTAATTTGGCCTCACAAGTTGCTATAAATATTTAACACAAAATTTAAGGCCCCTTTTGCGAATGAGAAAACTCCACATGCGACACGTTTTTTGGTGTTTTGGAATACGTCCAGCGAATAAATGAAGTATGATCATTTACTGGGCTACCTGTGGTATATAGGTAGTCAATTAAGTTAACTTAAATTACATAGAAATTCCCAGGGTCTTTATATATATAAAGAATTTTTAAGGAAAAGCAAGAGTGTTGCAGACAGTCCTCCACTTGTGGCTATAGTTTAGCAAAGGTTTCTACCAAAGTCAATTAGTAACGATTATTGGTCCACTACGCGGTCACTTCCTCATCCACCTATTGTAGTGCACTGTGGAACTGTCTTAGGGGATATATTCTCATTGTAAAGAAACGAAGCATCCTTTATCGTACAAATCAGTATGACAAAAGCACAATTCTAAGGATGTTTTTAATGCAAAAGCGGACTAAACAAAAAACTATTTAAAGTGCCTATCACCCTTCTGACCATATTCACAGTATTGATTCTACATGGGGTAAGATGTGGAATAACCCGAAAATATTTCATAAGTTTGAGTGCGGCTTCTTGAAGTTATAAAGGTTTTTCCATGCCATATGCTAATGCTGTGACGTATGAGGAGTAATCATTTAATATACAAAACATTACTGGCACGCATAAATAAAATTTGGAATACGTCATTATTTTTCCCATTGCTCTTAAAGAAATTATTGCAAGTTAGTTTTCACACAGAAGCCGGTGTTTCGAATTACGAGGAACAACAAATAACCAT